TAAAAAAATCATAGCGATGGTGATAGAATAATAGAACTCACTTAGGAAAGGATAGGACAGTAAAAGGGAAAGCTACAAGAATGAGAAAAGGGAACTGGAAGAATTTAAGATGGAATAGGAAAAAAGTGTGTTATAGAAACATTTCTGTGAAACAAGAGGAATACACAATTAGGTGTTCTAGGGAGAATAAACACAGCAGAAAGCACAGTATAGGACAAAGAAAATAAAACTAGGATGCAAATAAAAAGAAACAAATATAAAAGAAAGGACAAAGAGGATTACAATAAAGATAATAGAAATAAAAGGTAGGCCAAAGGAATCCAACACATGTCTAATATACATAATTGGAATGTCCCCCTCCCCACAAAGGATCCAACATAATACAATAGAACAAGTAATTAAAAATATAGTCCAGGAATACTTGGTGGGTATTAAGGAGGGCATATATTGCATGGAGCACTGGGTGTGATGCATTAAACAATGAATCTTGGAACACTGAAAAAAATAAAATTAAATTAAGATGTTAAAATTTAAAAAATTAAAAAAATATATAGTCCAGAAATACTTTCCTAAATTGAAAGAAGACTTACACCAACATAAGGAAAGGATGCCCTGAATAAAATCAAAGGTTTCATCAAGTGGAAATGAGCAGAACTGTAAAAAGACATAATCAGAAATGTAATAAAAATGGGAGACTTTAATTCCCTTCTCTCAGGAAGCTCAGATCTGGTAGCCAACAATTAAGTAAGGGTATAGAAGAGCTGAATGAAATAGTAAGTGAGCTATATATTAATAGATGACAATGCTTAACAATATGAAAACAAAAAGTCACCATTACTTAGAAGTTTAAAACAGAAAACACTTGGATCAGAATTGGAAATATGAACCAAAATTTTGCAATAAATAAAATTCTTTGAAAAAACAAATAAAGAATCACAAGTTAACCAAATCAAGAAAAGGGATGAACAAATCCACAAAATACCCCCAAACATAGAAATAGCCCAACCACATATTATAGTTAATAACAGTTCTAAAATTATTAAAGGAATGTGATATTATACAAAATAAGCCACACAGACAAAAATTAGAATAGTGAGTTGAGAAATAGATCCAAAACATATGGGAATTTATGATATGATAGACTGATATCACAAATCAGTAGAATAAAAAGAGACTTTAAAAATGGTGTTGAGGGGCACTTGGGTGGCTCAGTGGGTCAAGCCGCTGCCTTTGGCTCCGGTCATGATCTCAGGGTCCTGGGATTGAGTCCCGCATCGGGCTCTCTGCTCAGCAGGGAGCCTGCTTCCCTCTCTCTCTCTCTCTGCCTTCCTCTCCGTCTACTTGTGATCTCTCTCTCTGTCAAATAAATAAATAAAATCTTTAAAAAAAATAAAAAATAAAAAATAAAAATGGTGTTGAAAGTGCATAACCATGAGGAAAATATCATCCTGGATCTATAGTTCATTTAATGTACAATAATAAACTTTATTGTTTATATTATATTTATTATATAATATTATCATATTATATAATAAATATAATATAACATATTAATATTATATAATATAAATTATTATATTATATTATATTGTTTATATTATTTTTATAGATTATTAATTTAAATATAAAAATACAGTTTTAAAAGTGGCAGAAGAAACCATATTAACATAAATATTTTTAAAACTTTGGAGTAAGAATGATCCATCTTTGGTCCAAATACAGACATACCTTGGAGATACTGTGGGTTTGGTTCGAGACCACTCTGATAAAGCACATATTTCAATACAGTGAGTCAACTGAATTTTTTGATTTCCCAGTGCATATAAAGTTATGTTTAAATTATACTGTAATCTATTAAGTGTGCAATAACATCGTGCCTAAAAAACAATGTACAGACCTTCATTAAAATGTACTTTATTGCTAAAAAAAAGCTAACCATCCTCTGAGCTTTCGGTGATGTGTCATCTGTTTGCTGGTGGAATGTTTGCCTCAATATTGATGGCTGCTGATTAGCCAGGGTGGTGGTTGTTGAAGGCTGGAGTGCCTGTGGCAATTTTTTAAAATAAGACAACAGTGAAGTTTGCCATATGGGTTGACTGTTCCTTTCACAAACAATTTCTCTGTAGTATGCAGTGCTGTTTGATTTTACCCACATTTTACCCACAGTAGAACTTCTTTAAAAACTGGAGTCAGTCATCTCAAATCCTGCTGCATTAACAACTGAGTTTATATAAAATCCTTTGTTCTCATTTCAATAATCTTCACAGCATCTTCACCAGGAGTAGATTCCATATTAAGAAACCAGGTTCTTTGCTCATTCATAAGAAACATCTCATTTGTTGAAGTTTTATCATGAGATTGCAGTGATTCAGTCACATTTTTCAGGCTCCACTTGTAATTCCTAGTTCTCTTGCTATTTTTACCACATCTGCAGTTACTTCCTCCATAGAAGTCTTGAACCCCTCCATGTCATCCACGAAGGTTGGAATCAACTTCTTCCAATGTCCTGTCATTTGATATTTTGACTTTCTTCATGGCATCTAGAATTGTGAATCCTTTCCAGGTTTCCAATGAACTTTGCCCAGACCCATCAAAGGAATCACTACCGATGGCCCCCGTAGCCTTACCAAATGTATTTCTTAAATAATAAGACTTGAAGTCAAAATTACTCCTTGATCTTTGAGCTGCAGAGTGGACGTTGCTGGGTAACTTGCGCAGCTTCTGTCAGCACTTGCTGCTTCACCTTCTTCTTTGATGTTACGGAGATGGCTTCTTTCTTTAAACCTCATGAACCAACCTCTGTGAGTTTCACGCTGTTCTTCTGTAGCTTCCTCATCTCTCTCAGCCTTCCTAGAATTGAAGAAATTTAGGGCTTTGTTATGGAGTAGCTTTTGGCTTAAGGAAATGTTGTGGCTAGTTTGATCTGTTCACCAGACCACTAAGACTTTTTTCATATCAGTAATAAGGCTGTTTTACTTTATCATTCATGTGTTCACTGGAATAGTTCAGTCTTAATTTCCTTCAAGAACTTTTCCCTTGCTTTTACAATGTGGCTTTTTGGTGCAGAAGGCCTAGCTTTTAGCCTGTTTCAGCTTTCTACATGCCTTCCTGACTAAGCTTAATTGTTTCTAGCTTTTGATCTAAAACGAGAGATGTGTGACTCTTCTTTTCACTTGAACAATTAGAGGCCACTGTAGGGCTATTAAATGGCCTAATTTCAATATTATTGCATCTCAGGGAATGGGGAGGCCTGAGGAGAGGGAGAGAGATGGGGGAACATGTGATCAGTGGAATAGTCAGAACACACATTTATCACTTTAACTTCACTGTCTTAGAGGGTCATAGTTTTTCGGGGGGATGGGCAAATTACAATACTAACATTAAAGATCACTGATCACAGATCACTGTAACAAATATAATAATAATGAAAAAGTTTGAAATATTGTGAGAATTACCAAAATGTGACATAGAGACAGAAAGTGAGGAACTGCTGTTGGAAAAATGGCGCCACTAGACTTGCCTGAGGCAGGGTTGCCACCAACCTTCAACTTGTAAAAACCACAATCTCTGCAAGCACAATAAAGTAAAGCATAATGAAACAGGATATGACTTACTAAAAGCTATATAATAAAATATTGAAAATTTAACATAAAACTAAACCTCCTATGTATAAACAGATACACGCAGGCATACTCGAGAAATGTCCAAAACTGGGCAACAAGCAATTTGCAACTTATATAACAAACAATGAACTAGTATTCCTAGCACATAAAGAACTTGTAGGAAACAGAAAGAAAAAGCCAACAACAAAGTAGAAATTTGGGCAAAGGACATAAACTGTTTTCAGATAAATACAGATGGCTCTAATGTATATGGAAAGATATACTTAGTCATTCCCACTGACAAAAATGTAAATTAAAGGGGCGCCTGGGTGGCTCAGTGGGTTAGGCCTCTGCCTTCGGCTCAGGTCATGATCTCAGGGTCCTGGGATCGAGTCCTGCGTCGGGCTCTCTGCTCAGCAGGGAGCCTGCTTCTCCCTCTCTCTCTCTCTGCCTGCCTCTCTGCCTACTTGTGATCTCTCTCTGTCAAATAAATAAATAAATTCTTAAAAAAAAATGTAAATTAAAATTATTGGTGACAGTTTACTTTTCCTCCCCAACAGTGAACAACTAATTTTTTCCCATACACTTTGTTGTTGCTCTGGGGGAAAGAAATTACTGCATATATTACTGGGGGAGTACAAAATGCAGTAATATTTACAGAAGGCAATGTGGCAAAATCTATTAAATGATATTGTACAGATAATTCTGCTTATGTTCAAAATAAGGCATTATAAGGCTATTCATTATTAATTTGTAAAAAGCAGAAGATTCAAAATGATGCAAAGTTGCGTAAATAGGGACCTGATTAAGTAATGGTTGCCGCATGTGCATGATGGAATACTGTACAGTACGCAAAAAGAATGAGGGGGCTTGCTAAATACTCATATGGAAAGATCCCTAAAATGTCCTGCTAAATTTTTTAAAAGGCAAAGAACAAAACAATGTAGGTTTTTTTTTTTTTTTTTTTTTTTTTTTTAAGAAGGAGGAAACAATAAGAATTCATTGCTTCAGCTTCTGTATATGTATACACTGGGAGGATGCAGTAGCAAGTGAGGTCACCTCTGGCAGATTTGAATGTGGATATGGAATGGTGTGGACAAGGGCAATGATGAGAGGGAGACTTTTCACTACGTATGTTTTATACTGTTTGGATTTTTGAACCTTATGAAAGTATAATCCCTCTAAAATTTGATGGTACTATTATAATCAGAAATTGATCTGTTTAAACTTTGCAATCTAGGTCACTCGTCATATTTGTTGAGCTAGCTTATGCTCTTATTAAATATCTGTAACATGGCATGATTTTGTTAGCTCTTAATACTGCAGAAATTAGTTTACCATTTCCAGTGGGCTGGTAATCTTCAGTAACATCCTGTTTTCACATTCCCTAAAATGTAGCTGTGACAAAGATCCTCAGACCACCGTCATTGAAAATGGCAGAAGCCAGCAGGGCCGGTTTTCCTTTGAAGTGTTCCGATTTGTGAAACACAAGAATCAGAAAATGTCTACCGTCTTCCTGCACTGTGTTACCAAGCTCTGCAGAGCTGATGACTGCCCCTTCCTTATGCCTGTATGTTTTTAGCAACTTTCTTCTAAATTGTCAAATTGATCTAAGCTGAAAGGTTATCCAGTGTTAGGGACTAATTTCTGTATAGAAAGTGAATATGGGTCAAGCCAAATAGTTTGAAGTAGAGTTTATTTATTTATTCATGCAGTAAGATCTATTGGATGCCTACTTTGTGCCAAGCATAATACTGGGAAAACAGACATGTGTGCATAAATTCTGAACTCATTTAGCTGATCTTTGAGGAACATGAGACTGTCATGGAAGAAAATATGACAAAAATGTTATGGTCCAAAGACACATGTATGGGTTGTTGTAAGAGGCAGTAATCACCATTGTGAGAGTAGAACAGGAGAGACTGGGAGGTTTGATGGAAGACATGAAACCCAGGGTATGACTCTGAAGATGGATGAACCCCAAAGAAACAAAATCAAGAGTGTGAGAGACACCCCGTCCCAAAGGTTGACTGAATTCACAGACACATAAGACAGAGTAACCAGGGAACTACCAGACCTTCATGAGGTGATGGGACAGAGTAGAGGATGATTGGAAAACATAGGGAGGGGGCAGGGCTGACACTAGAAAGGTAGATTTGGGATGGATGGCCCAGGAATCCCTTGGATTGCAAGTTAGAAGTTATAAAATAGGTGTGGATCTGAATTGCATACAGCCATTATTAAAATATTGATCCATTTACTAGTGAATAAGAAAAAATAGCTATTGCTGACAGGTCCCTAAGGTCACATCAGTATTAACCTGAGAAAAACGAAGCCACATTTTAAAATTGGAAATAGCTTTAATACATTTTTATTTATGCTCTAATTCATGCATTTCCTTCACAATGATTGATTACTTTAGTCCTAACTAGCTGTATCAGATGGGGTTAAATGGTGAATCCACATTACCTTGACTCTGTGCTGACCAACATTTCAGGAAAAGATTTATTAAAGGCTTGAGAGAAATAAAAGAAAAAAGTTTGATAAATACAGCTCTTTTTCAGGGGAACCATTGAGCTATGTAAATTAATGAGGCAAAGCACAATTATAACAGGAGGAAATAAGAAATGTGGCCCAAGCCAGAATGAGAAACACTGTAGCAATCATATGCAAAGTAATTAAATAAATGCACAGAAGTAAATGAATAAAATTAAACATGTGGTATCTCTTCCAAAAGAATCTGCTTTCCAAATGGCCATAAAGAACCAATTTTGTGCTGGTGTGGAATTTCATTTGTTTTCATTAACACCTCAGATTTGCGGCCACAGAGAAAGAAGAGATGTGGGGAGGAGGACCACTTGGAGCCCCCAGAGCACGTCTGGAAACGCCGTCCTCTCTGCTGGTCCCATCATTACTCGGAGTGGTAGGAACGTTTCTCCTTTTGTGTGTAGTAATAGATTGTTCCAAAATGGCTTATTACTTGGCTTCTAAGGAGAACTCAAAGTGGTTTCTCAATAACACTAATTAACTGTGAAACAAGATAAACTGCTAAGCAACTTTAATTTCACAGTAGTTTCCTGTTTACTCAACTTTCACACAAAGGGCAATATTGTCTTTTCCAATATTTCCCTTTTTACACAGGCACACACTACACACAGGCACACACACACACACACACACACACACACACACACACACACACACAAGTATACAAATATACCGTGCTGGACATGTTTCACTCACCCTTTTCTCTGCCCTGCTCTCTCCCCTGAAGGCCTGTGTGAACTGCACCCATCCAGTGCTTTGCCATCCAGTGCTTGGCTGGGTTTGGCCAGTAGGTGGTGCTATTCGAGGATGAAAATGAAGTCCACAGAGTTCCTCCCCAACAACTTTCTCCACAGAACAGGAACCTTCCTATAGCCCAGGGAACTTGACTTTCTTTCGTGAATTCCCTGTATCTTTAAAATAGTCCTATTAAACTTTTCTTAAAATGCCCAGTTTGAGTACCATTTGTTTCTTGCCAGGATCCTGAATATTACATAGCCCTTCCAGCACACCCAACCACGGTCACGAATCTAACAGATACAACGGCTTATCCGCACATATTCTCATATATACAAATATTTGTGCATGCATGTACATTCACAGACACTCTCCAAAGGGATATTGTTTTCTATCAGTGTGAACCCGGAGACATTCAGAATCAACTGGAGAAAACAGACATGCAGGGTAAACAACCCAAACTTCAGTCAAAAAAACTGATTCTAGCTCCGGCTTGTGTCCGAGCAAGCTATATGACGTGGGATTTTATGTCACCTCATTGGGAAAATATCTTAAAACAAGGGGTTTGAAGAAGTTGCTTTAAGATTCTTACCCTATGGATCTAAATTTGTCTTTAAAAAAAGTAGAGTTCTGGTTTGGATTGTATTCTAATAATTTTTTCTCACTTTTATCTTAGCCATAAGGTTATTATTATGTTTAAATTAGATTATCTTTACTTTTTCTCCCATGCCCTCTGTTCCACAGTGAAAAGAAAGTTTTGCCTGAAATAGGTAATTAAGCAAAAAATAATTTGACCTAGAAAGTTTAGACAGTTGCTTAAATTATTCACTCCTCTGTGTTTCTTTAGACATAGCATTATTTAAAAACAAGCTAATGGTTTTTTTAAAATAATGCAGAAATTTATTAAATATGAAATTTCAAACTTACTCTGCATTCCCTGAGGTTTGTTATGTGTTTTGAATGGTTTGAAAATGACTGGCTTGTGATTTGTGAAAGGCCCAATTCTTATCTCTTGTCTGGCTGTCAGAAATAGCTCATAGAATTACACTGCATGGAAACTCAACTCTCATTGCCAATAACTAGGAATGGTTTTGGGTAGACACAATAAAAATATTTTTATTTCTATGGAGCATGTCTAGCATCAGTTTTGTGTAAGAGAAAAAAACCCTTGAAAGGGCCATCTCTCTGCCCATGTTGAGTGGATTTTCCTCCTTATTAACCTGCTTGCTTCCTTCTTCCATGCACCGAATCAAATTTAAATGGTACACATTTTAATTAATTTTTAGCATAAGATACGTTTTTACAAGGACCAACATTTTTAAGATCCCCAAATCCCAGTAAAGATTAACAAAGTAGAGGTTTCTTTTCTTTTCTTTTCTTTTCTTTTCTTTTCTTTTCTTTTCTTTTCTTTTCTTTTCTTTTCTTTTCTTTTTTAAGATTTTATTTATTTGTCAGAGAGAGAGAAAGAAAGAGTGGCAGGCAGAGCAAGAAGCTGACTTCCCGCTCTGAACAGGGAACCCGATGTGGGACTTGATTCCAGGACTCCGGGATCATGACCTGAGCTGAACGCAGACACTTAACTGATTGAGCCACACAGGCGTCCCCCAAGTAGAAGTGTCTGATTCTACCATAGCCAGCCAGCCATGCAAGTTTACAGGTTTCACCTATACCATATTCACTCGCCCCAAGTATCTTGGCTCAAACCTCAGGCAGCTAATGCCTCGGTCACAATGTCACAGAGGTCATGCCTGAATATCTTCCTTTCCAGTTGCAACCTATTTTCACCTCAAGGATAACATTCATTTTCCAACACAGTAGTGTTGTTTTAGTAACCTCAGTCTCCTCACCGGCAAAGCCCCCAAAGAATCATGTTTAAAAGTTCTGGATGCCCTTCATTCCTCTCTTATTCTCTGTGGTTTTATTTTTTATAATTTTGATAAATAGCCATAGGATGGTGCTCATTTCTAGACAATCATGTAGAGGTATGGCCTCTACCCTCACGGTGTAGAGGGCCATATATAACAATTTTTACTTTATGTTACTACAGTATCATAATTTAAAAATTATTATTTTAAATTCTACATACATATAGAACTCAGAAATTAAGCCATATCCTTCAATAGGAAAATCCTATGTAAACATAAAATCTAACTTAATGACCAGGGCTACCTTCTTTTCTCAGTTTCACTTTATTTTTACCTTAGGTCAGCTAGAATTTATCTCTCCAGTTCCTGTGGCCAGTTTTATATAGACAAGTCCAATTTCAGGCTTGATTTGCTCTCTTCTAAGTTCTCTGGTACTTGGAATTTTTGCTCTGTTTACTCATTGAACCACTCCTTTCCCTTACATCTGACTTAGGTCAAGTTTAATAAGTTGTTAAAGCTTAGTACTTTTCTTTTGTTTTAATACAATCGAAGACATTCTGATCATTTTACCCAACACTGTAAATCCTTTTGTTGATTGATTTAGGAAAATATTCATATCTTCAATATTTCAAATCCTCAAAATTCCTGAAGTGTTCTTATTTCATACCTCCACACGCTAAAACTATTCAGTAGGGAAATGCTTATCATGGGGTATAATTCTGGAAATTCACAATTGCAAGTACTAGAAACCAATAGTACCTAATTGTTTTATTTACATAAATTCTGATGGGAGGAAGTCCTAGTCAAGCTATTCAATGCATATCATTGAATTTTATGGGGACTTAATAATTCATACAAACCTCCACATGGCACAGGCATTCTGTTTGGAACTGGGAATACACTAGAGAACAGGCCACAGTCTTTGCTCTCAGGAATCTTAGTCTTCAAAGGTAGACATGGACTATTAACAAACATAACATAATGGAGGGTAAAAAGTTAGGAAATCCTCAAGGTGCCTCAGTCAGTTGGGCTTCCAACTCTTGATTTCAGCTCTAGTCATGATCTCAGGGTTATGAGATTGAGCCCCGGCTCAGCTCTGTGCTTGGTGTGGAGAGAGGGCCAAGATACTCTCTCTTGGGCACCTGGGTGGCTCAGTTTGTTGAGCTTCCAAACCTTGCTTTTGGCTCAGGTCATGATCTTAGGGTCCTGGGAATTGAGCCCCAAGTCAAACTCTGTACTCAGTGGGGAGTCTGCTTGATGATTCTCTCCCTCTCCCTCTGGCCCCCCCCCCCCCCCTCTCTCTCAAGTAAAATAAATAAATATTTAAGAAAACGTGTCTCTTTCCCTGTCCCTTGGCCCCTTTTGCCCTCCTCTCAAATAAATAAATAAATAAATAAATAAATAAATAAATAAATAAATTTGGAAGCTCTGAATTTGAAATATGTGGTCCGTTTTACCATATAGGTAGATAATCAAAGATTAAAGAAAATAGTTTGCTTGTGCTAAGAAAGGAAGAATATTTATTCTGTATATATCTTTGCACCAATGTTTACTTTGTCCATTTATTTCTGCTACTTATATGAAAGAAAAGCAGAAAGAAAGTGTTTATCAGGTGCTTCTGGGTTTCCAACAGCCATGATATTGCTGCTGTCACTTTCTTCCTCTGGGTCCTCAACTAGCTGCATGCATTTTGAAGAGCGCACCAAGTTTAGTATTCCCATATGTTCTAACTCCAGAAGGTGTCTTTTAGCATATATGTATATGGTAAGACCAAGTGTGTATAAGAGAAAAATAACAGAGTGTGTGGTGAAAAAAAAATCTAGAAAATGTCTACCTTCCCTTTGGGGCTAAACCAAATTGCAGGACACTAGAAATGGAAGGAAACTGGAAACAGCAACTAGATAAAGTGATTCGCTCTATGTTTATCCACTATCAAATGCAGTTCCAAATGGTATTCAAATAGTACATGCTTTGATTTTATCCCTCTGCTGCCATCAGAGGTAGGACACTTGTACTTTTTCAGTCCTGGAACCTATGGCTGGTATGGCTCATCCGACAGTTTGTCTCATGTGAAGATTTTGTCCGTAGCCCCATCCTTATGAGTGACACCTGGGGTAGTTTTCTTACAGAAGTGTTGCTGCTAATGTGGGAGAGAAGGGAACTTTCTGACTTCTTTAATTAACTTCAGGATGCAGAAAATAATATGGGCAGCCAATCTTAGCACTTTCACCTAATTTGGGACACATAGGAGAAGGAGCTTTCTAGTCTTAAAAATAAATAAATAAATGCAAATAAATGTGGTTTATAAACAAAGAATAACTTTGAAAAAGGAATTTTAGAGCCTTACATATTCTCCTCCATGTTCCAGTGAGGCAGTTTGTCTTGGAAATCTTTTGGAAGAATTGATCACATTTCATTCATTCCATCCAGTTCCATGAGAAACAAGTGTCTTTATAAAATAGTGTTGGTTGAGGTTAGGATTTTCCTAAGGGTGTCCTGTAATGAAAATTTGTGCTTTTTTCCCCTCCTTTTTGTCCTATAGTGGTGCACTGCACCATTCTAAAGAATACTATAAATGAGCACTCTATTAATTTGGAGCGTTGTACTTCTGGCTCAAACAGCAGAATCATCATTTCCGCCAAGACTCATATGTCTTAAAAGAAATGGCATCAGATGGCTTATAAATATCACGCCAGGTTCTCCCAATCAATCATTTCAAATACTAACCCTGGGGTTTCATAGCTTGAGATAGTCATCTTTATAACTAAAAATATTTTCCATACTTGGCTAGTCTATATTATTTTAGAAAAAGGATTCTGAAGTTGAGCTGTTATTTAAACATATGTTTACTTCATCATGGAGGCTGTGACAGATGGAAGTTTCTTCATCTGTAAAATGGGGGTAGCAATAATGTTAAAACCATATGGCTGTTACGAGGACAAAATGTGATGACACATGAAGCAACACTTTGTAAACTGTATGGCATGACACACATGTTAATTGTAATAATATTTACACTCCCAGTCAACTGCACACATTTTATGGTTCAGATAACGGACACCCACAGGCACATACACACCCACATATTTAAGACCAAAAATGAAATCCACTCATTGTACAAGATCAGGGGTTAATGGCTATACGATTACCAAATACGTAACCCAAGTTGGGATACCAGGTGAATGCATTCATTTCATCGATTATGAGGTTTGCCAGGGACAAGTAAAAAATCACCAGCTTTAATCTTTTACTTAACAGATGCAAAAAATCCTGCAATGCAAGATTAGGAGTATGTTTTCCTTTCATTTAGTTACTAAGTGTGAATTTATCTTTTAGGAACTTAAAATGATGTTTTTGCAAATTATGATGGGCAAATTTGCAACACTTAAAATAGAGCGGCACTAAATAATGAATACTTCTCTAAAACAAAATAACAAATGGCAGGTTATAGGGCTATAAAAAATGTAATAGCTGTTAACAATTACTGCCCCCACTAACCTGACTAGAGAGAGAATGACAAAGCAAGGTTGACAGGAAAGAATATTGTAGAGTATATTTTGTGATTATATCTGTATGCCTAGGGAAACTGGCAGGGTGTGGGCTTATGGGAGAGACAGAAAAAATCTCAGACACATGGAACAGAAAATGGGAAAGCAGAATGGTTTAGGAAGAGTTTCATGATTCCCTCACCCATGGAGCTTGTGGATGAAGCACATATAGGTAAAAAGTAATCACCGAATTATAATAAACATAAGTAAATATTTAGAGATACAATATTGCTTTTCTTTTTCTTTTCTCTCTCAGATGAGACTCCAACCAACAATTCGCAGCTTGGTAAGCTAATGAACATATATTGAAAATAAAAGTATGATTTTTAAAATTTTAAGTGGTTTTTGATTATCAGTTGCAACTAAATATGATGAGTTCTGATTTTCCAAGTTTGTTATATTTTACATAACATCTGAACTCATATGAGACCTGTTGGTCAATTTTTATAACATTTTACAGATAATTTTTTTTTTTTTTTTGGCAGCCCAGGGAATATCAGTCTTCTAAACTGCATAATCCTTTGGTAATTGGATTGAATTATAGTCAAATAGATTATAGCATTTATCATGTCATGCTGTTATTTTACAAGATACTAATGACAGATGTTTTGCAGGTATAAACTGGGATAAGGTGAGATAAATCCAATATTGGACCTTTCCACTATGTGTATTTTATTGCTTGCAGGTTCTCCAAGTGACCCTCCTTTCCAGCTGAACGCCGTTACCAGTGCACTGATATCAGGAATGGTCATTCTGGGAGTCATGAGCTTTTCCCTTCTCTTGTGCTCACTGGCCCTTCTACACAGGAAGGCACCCACTAATTTAGTGTTGAATGGCATAAGAAACCCAGTCTTTGACTGACTGTAACAGGTCCCTCCTTTTGGGAAAAGGATTCACTGACCATACCATGGGTGACTTGTCAGTGTTTCATCCAAATTGAATGCCAGCCAGCATTTGGTATTTATAGGTATGATAGATTTCACAGTGTAGCTCATTAGCATGATGATAGTGAAAGAATTTTGATGCTATTGTTTTTGTCATTTATGTATGTGGTCAGCCCTATTTGTATGGCACCAATGGGTATAATGACAATAAGCAAACAATATTCAGGACTTAGATCTTACAGGATCAGTCACATTTCATTTTATTTCAGTTTTCTTTTGATTATTGGTTGTTACAGAGATAAAAGGGGGGTGTAGAAAAAAATACATTTGTTGCATTTTTTCCCCCTGGTAAGTGTTAAAACCCGATGTAATAGCATTTAGAGTTGTATATGTGGTCCTAAAATGAAAGTCATTCTTTTGTTTTATTCCAGATAATTCCAGCTTGGGGATATGTTTTAATTGGACTGGCCAATTTGGACACTTGAGATTTAATTACTTATTCTATGACCGGTGTTTTTGGCTGATTTCCATGTCTGATGACATTCATTAAAAAAAAAAAAAAAAAAAAAAAACTCTTGGGAAATGTATCTTAAACTGGAGCATCTACTTGTGTAGCAAATAGTAAAAATAGTCATTAACCTTTGAAAGATACTAAGTGACCCTTAGTATCTCATTATTCATTTGTATAGAAATGACTGTGATCAGTTTTCTCCTGGTTCAAGTGAGAACATCAGCACATGTTGACTCTCCTCCCAGGTAAACCGCTCAGCTGCTTTTGCAGCTCTATTTCCAGCAGTGAGGCAACTGCAAAGATCTTTCTTCATTCAAGAGCCATTACATGGGAAAACAAACCATAGTTGTGGGAGAGGACATCGTCCCCACATATACGTGTAGTGTTCCCATAGGGGTTTTTAACAACCTAGTTTCCCTTTTTTTCCTATGACAAAGAGGAAACAGGCTAAGTGTGTTTTGCAGAACGTTGTTGCAGTCTCTATGAAAAAATGTCCTTTTCCCACAAATTTCTGATGCTGGCTAAACAAAGAATCTGGAGGAGCCTAACTTGTTAGGGTGTCTTCGTGAAAGTGTCATGTTCACCATGGAATAAACAGTATTTTCCTATATAGTAAACTGCAAGAAGTATGTGATCTTTTATCAGTTTTGCAAAAAGTTTTTAAAAGCCAAGTTTTAAGCAGACTATGTTCTTACAAAAAAAAAAAAAAAATCCTTCCTTTTCTTCAGCCTATCTACACAAATGAATAGAACATTTCAGTGACAAACATCAAAATCTAGCACATGGCTACTAGATGTATTATGTTACCTGTAACAACTGCTGTAGAGACTAATTTATATTCAACATTTGTGATCCATTATTCAGAACTTAATTTTCTATCCTATATGCAAATCGCTATGCAATTTTAAATTTGTTTCAAATGAAGTAGCTATGTTCTGAAGTTAATAATTAAATCAATCATCAAATGAAAAACACCTTTTCTCCAATTTGCCTGAACAGATCAGGAGAAAGTGTTTATATTATAATAATTAGCTATATGATTGCCTCAACTTTCTCTTTCAATGTTTAGATACAGTCAAAGTGAAATGGGTCTGGAAAGTCTTCGGATAATTTATTCAATATTAAAAAGTCTAACACTTAGAAAGCCAACTTCCTCTTCCCTGTGTTACTTCAAAATCCCTTTGAAGTGACCATTCTGAACTTTATCTGTATTAAGAATTTATTTTCTACTTTAAAGGGAAAAATTCTACAGAAAAGAAAAAGTACAGACCATGTGTGCTACTTATGTGATCTTATATGCACATGGATAATTAAAATAGTCTAGTAAATCTATTTCAGATACTTTAAGTGAATTGCCATTAATCTGAGGATTAAGTCCTGTGAATAGGACGTTATCATTGAAACCAGTTGGTCAGTTTGATTTTGTGCTTTGGGGAACTGTTTCAGGTCAGTGACCTTTTACATTCTATATACCACTTTTTAAAACTGAATAATGGACACTTCATTTTGTAAGCAACTTACATCTCACATTATTTTTTTTTTTGCCTTCCTGTCACTATAAATGGGAGAATCAGAGCTATAATGTGACAAACCATGTTTGTTTTATATAGTTTTGTTCTTATCAACCTGCAGTTATGTGTAGTATTTAGTTGCACTGAATATTTTGGTTACTATATTGTGAAAGCCTTACAAAATATGTGGAAATGTTCCTTCAGTTTTAATACCTCAAACCGTTTTTTTTTTTTTTTTTTTTTGGCACTTCAGGGGTTAGGTCCGATGACATGTAAAAGATGATTGTTTAATAAAATAATTGTAAATGAATATCTTTAAAATAGTCATCTGTTTTTGTTTTTGTTTTTTTTTAAAGATATTTCTCTTTCCTAATCTCAACATTCTCTTCCTAGTTTCACGAATGTTAAGAATGACTGAACTTAAAATAAGCTCCTTCATGCAACAGGGAAGGGCAGTGATCTCTGAAGCTAGATGAAGCTTGTTCTCTCCATATTGAGCTTCCTGGTTACAGCTCTGTGTTAGGAGACCTATTCAGGAGATCAGCTGACGGTAAAGAAGTGTGCTTTACCTTGAGTTTGAGAACTAACACTGAACCTATAATTTTTAAAACTTTGAGGGGAAAATCAGAACTGGAAAGACAAGAAGCTCAGCCTCTGCCTAGAGTTTCACAGGCTCTCATGACATTTCCCAGGGTCAGCCTGTCATCTCTTGTTTTGAGAAGTAACACAGAGTTGAGGAAAAAAGCTTTTCCTGACTCAGGGAAAATCTCATCTTAAAGAAATGAGTAAACCTCTGGGTCTCCATGTGATGGCACGTAGCTTTGGGAGAATCACAGAAATGGTTCAGGAAGGGACATTGTCAGCTGTGGAAAATGTAAGGTAGTAAACGTCTAAAAGTGAGAAAAGAGCAGGAGAAGAAGTCCATGGGAGACACTTATTTGTGAACACATATGAGGCATAATTTGACGGATTTCCAGAGCACTTGGCAGGAAAGAATTATAACAGGATGGAGAGCCTTCTATTATGACTGTGGAGGCTATTAGGCTAGCACACATTGGCTTTCATTCCATATTTATAAGGGAAAAAGCAAGTTGATCACAGATCAATTGCTTTTGAGAATGAGGTTCCTCAATATTTACAAGTGGGAAGACATTTAATATAAAACAATTCAAATTTGCAATTTAGAAAAAAAAATGTAGTTGGGTAGTAAACAGAACAAATGCCAGGACTACCTGTTGTATTAATCAGGGTTCTCCAGGAAAAGAGAACTAATGGAATATATGTACTGGATATAAAGAGGTTTATTTTAAGGAATTAGTTTACATAATTATGGAGGTTGACAAGTCCCAAGATCTGCAGTCAGCAAGGCCCAGGAGGGCTGGTGGTGGAGTTCTAGCCTGGGTCCAAAGGTCTGAGAACCAGGAGAGCTGATGGTGTATTTCCAGTCTGAAAGCTAGCAGGCTTAAGACCAAAAAAGAGCTATTATTTCCATTCAGTTCCAAAGACTGGAATAAACCAGTGTCCCAGGTTGAAAAGTAGTCAGATGGAAATGATTCTCTCCTAGTCACAGGCTGGTCGGCCCTTTTGTTCTAGCCAGACTTCCAATGACTAAATGGGGTCCACCCACATTAGGTAGGGCAATCTGATTTGCTAATTTATTCAAATATTAGTGTCATCCAGAGACATGTCACAGACACACCCAGAATAAGTTTTGACCAAATGTCTGGTGACCTGTGATCTAGTCAAGTTGATATAAAATGAACATTACAGCTGGTAAACTGGCAAACCCACCATCTGTTTGTCTGGCACTTCTGAAAACCAGAAGTCCTAATCAGTCCAGTAACAGTAAGGGAATGAATAAATAAAAATGTTACAAAATTTGGCAGTTTATGATTGCAATGATTGTGAAACACTTAATATCTAAATGTAGGGACTTATGAGCAGAGGGTCCTCTTTTATGTTAGCTAATAATATGGATCAAATAGAGAAAAGAGATATTGGGGGCAAATGCAGCAAAGGAAGTGCTGGAGGCTGAGAAAAGAGGCACCTTCTTAGTGGGAATGAGTTCACTAGTGGGAGACAAAAGAAGAATATCTGGTAGCTGTTACCCATATTTATCCTCATGGTGGCCGATCTCCTCCAGAGGCTCCAAGGAAGTGGAAACTGGATAAACATGTCACATTTTCATGTTTGTGAGAATATCTTGCCTGATTGCTTGTTGGTAAACAGTATCAGCCTCTGCAAATTTGAACACAGGAGAACTGAAAAATAACCTTAGTTAATGCCACTTTTTTGCTAAGCTAGCAGGGAGAGAGTTGGTTTGGGACCTTCTACTCACAGGTACTAGATACAAGATTTGGGAATCTCTGCTCAGTAAACTTCATTTGTAAAATGCTTTGTATTCTTGAAAAAGTGAAATCGAGAGCTCAGATTGTTATCTCTGCATAGTTTAAAGCTCCAGTTCCTTTTGCCTCAAGTATCTGGGTATTTTCTGTTTTACTTAAATTGCCAACATAATTACCTCAATTTTCCCCTACATTTTCCATGTTGAAAAGTGAAGTGCTATCATTATATGGAGGTTTAGTGAAAGTCAATGTGGCCCCAATTTTGAGGTTACTTTTCATCAAGAGTAGAACTCTATTAGCATTGCCCAAAGTGGAATCCATTACTGAGTAGTCCTGCTGGTTTGGCTAATCAACCAGCACCGGAAGATCCTTGGAGAGTTATGGTTTGACAATTTCATGCAACTTTGCCTCAAAGTTATATAGGTCCTTAAGCTATTTCTCCTCTTGTATGTAGTTTGTAACTTTTTCTTTTTTTTATAATAGTGAACAATTGACTAAAATGAAAAATTACTTGAGAGGAAATGTAGTACTTTTAAGAAATTATTTACCACTTGGGAATTGGAAATGATTTGCTTTTTAAAAGTTGTTGCTAAAATGAGGGGGGCAGAGA